AAAAAAAAATAAAAAAGAAAAAAAATTCTTTTTCAATCCCCCACCCCCCCCCCCCCAAAAAAAAAAAAAAAAAAGAAAAGAAAGTTTACTAACCTTAAGTTATATCAATGTGTGAAGTCAATGTCTGGGTAGAGTTGCTCATCATCTTCTATGTCCTGTAAAAAGAAATAAGAATGAGATTAGATCTTTTTCAATTTACCTTCCTCCCCCCCCCCCAAAAAAAAAAATGTTTAAAGTTTACTAACCTTAATTTCTATCTACGTATGAAGTCAATGTCTGGTTAGAGTCGCTCATCATCTTCTATGTCCTGTAAAAAAAATGAGAATGATTAGATCTCCCGTCCACCCCCCCTCCTCCAAAAAAAGTTTAAGGTTTACTAACCTTAACTTCTATTGACGTGTCAAGTCAATGCCTGTGTAGAGTTGCTCATTATCTTCTATGTCCTGTAAAAAGAAATAAAACTAGATTAGATTTTTTTTTTTTTCAATTTTCCTATCCCCTCCAATAAAAAAATTTACTAACCTTAAATTGTTGATCCGAAGAGTAGTCTGTGTTCGATGGTAGGCATCATCTTCTATGTTCTGTAAAAAAAATAAATACGAGATTAGATTTTTTTCAATTTACCTTTACCACCCTAAAAAGGTAAAATTTACTAACCTTTAACTGTTGATCCGAAGAGTAGTTAATGTCTGAGTGGAGGGGCTCATCATCTATGTCCTGTAAAAAGAAATGAAAATGAGATTAGATTTTTTTCAATTCACTATCCCCCCCTATAAAAGTTTACTTACCTTAAGTACCTTTTGATATGAAGTGTAGTGAATAGTATATGTTCAATGGTAGGCACTCATCTTCTTCTATGTCCTGTAAAAAAAATAAAAACGAAATTAGATTTTTTAACTTCTGCTACCCCCCCCCCCCCCAAAAAAAAAATAATAATAATATGTTTACTAACCTTAACCTGAGTGGAAGCACTCATCATCTTCTATATCCTGTAAAAAGAAAGCAAAATTATATTAAATTTTTTTAGTTTTTTATTGACACAATACATTACAAATGCATGACAATAAGAAGAAAGGGAACAACACTAACTCACACTTAAGAGAAAACGGACATCAGCCTTAGAAAAAAGGGAACAACAACAAAACTCGACGAGCGTGACCTAAATCGGGCACATGAAAGTTTTGGTTCTAGCCTTAAAGGGCAATCAAGATCGACCTAGAAACACAGGCAGAAGAGGAATATGACAGAAATATAAAGAGAGTATGACATGGTGGCACTAACCCATCGCCAGTAGCTTGGATTTCAGTCCATTTACGATTAATTTTTCTGCGGTGGTTATTCGATGTACATTTCCCAGAGCGACGCGTCAACATGGATTGAAGAGTCGAATTCACAGAAGCACACAGCGGGGGGAAAGGCGAAACATTCGGTGTTTTATGCTAGTAAAGAAACTATCTTCAAGTACGATGCATTGGCGTAGGATCACATGAGATTTGATAGCGGTTCCCCGAAGAAAATTGCTCTCACTTCGCGTCCTTTGTTGCGTCCCTTGTTCTCCTCTGGAGTGCAACGCAATATGTCCATCCCGCTTCACAATAAAGGGTACCGGAGAAGATCAGCATTGATCAGAATTGTGCCGGAAGTGTGACGTCAAATGGTGTTAGAAGCGAAGCTGAGTGGTCATTTTAACCTGGAGGTGAACGGCAGAGAAAAACATGTAGTCGGAGGAAAAAGAAGTTTTCTAAACAACATGGTAAGATAACTCTCTTTTTTACGCATTTTGGGCAGAGAATACTTGTAGAAATAACAGATGCATGATATGAAAACGTGACACGGAACTTGAAGGTGCAAAATCGTGCTGTCAAAATGTCACCTTTGTCTTGGCATTTGTCACTGATTAGCTCTTCCCCCAGTGTAAAAGGTGTATTAGTGTGATCTTATGTGTGGAATTTCATGTCAGATGGACATATAAAGATCTAAAAATTCGTCAAAATATTGAAAAAAGATACAGCTTTGCACAGCAGTCGGAGATCGGTACGATTCAGTTGTTAGTTACAAACTACTTCCTGGTTTTCATAAGGTCCTTCAAGACCTCTATAACATTGTTATAATTGCAGCCCATACCATAAAACACCCCAAAATACTTAGATATGGACATATCAGATTATATTAATGCCAAATTTCCACATGACAACGATTTATAGACTCCCGGGAATTATTTTCCCTTAACGCTCTTTGTCGCGCTGGCGGTCAATGCAGCATTTATTTCAAAACAAGTTGACCGCAAATTAAGCACGATTTTGCACCTTCAAGTTCCGTGTCACGTTTTCATATCATGCATCTTTTATTTCTACAAGTATTCTCTGCCCAAAATGCGTGAAAAAAGAGAGTTATCTTACCAGGTTGTTTAGAAAACTTCTTTTTCCTCCGACTACACGTCTTCTCTCCCGTTCACCTCCAGGTTAAAATGACCACTCAGCTTCGCTTCTAACACCACTACACGTCACTTCCGGGCACAATCAGTCTTCTCCGATTCCCTTTATTAACACACGTAAGAACTGCAAGTCTTCAAAATGGTTGAATAAGTTTAAATCAGTGAAAAGGGATCCAAAAAATATTTTTAAGTATTATAAGTATTAAAATATTTTTCATTTTAATACTTATCATTCATCAGCTTTTGCATTTTCCATCTATTTTATCTCAGCTGCTTATGATAAGTGTTTAAATCATCAATTAATTCTCGTAAAATATAAATAGTTTAAGTCATGAATAATCCTTAGATATACACCCAATGCATATTTTCAAAGATGCCAGTGTGTTATTGTGATGTTATACAAGTTGTTATTATTTTAACAAAAGTTAAAAGAAAATGATAAAAAAACACCAGACTAAGATATGGATCCCGTGGCAATCTTCCTTCTACAATTTAAGTGTGAATTACTAGTAGGCCTAACTATGAAATCAGGAACTCACAAACAATATTACAATCACCATTTACCGAATCTGTATTAATTATTTCTTTCAACCTTTAAACATTTAAGTCAACCATGAAACAATCTATAAGAGAATTGAATTGTGTTAATGGTATGGCAACTCCTGAGAACATCTTCAGTTATAATATAATGGCAGTGTTCCAAAACCACGATACATATTAAATACAGGCTTGCTTAAATCTTAAACGGAAAGGAAGTATTATCAAGTGTTGCACCTGCTCAGCAAAGCTGCAAATTTTATTTTGCAGCATCACAATTTCACTAGCACAAATCAGTT